GTGGGTGGGTGGGTGTGGGTGGGTGTGGGTGGGTGTGGGTTGGGTGTGGGTGGGTGTGGGTGTGGGTGGGTGTGGGTGGGTGTGGGTGGGTGTGGGTGGGTGTGGGTGTGGGTGGGTGTGGGTGGGTGTGGGTGGGTGTGGGTGGGTGTGGGTGGGTGTGGGTGGGTGTGGGTGGGTGTGGGTGGGTGTGGGTGGGTGTGGGTGGGTGTGGGTGGGTGTGGGTGGGTGTGGGTGGGTGTGGGTGGGTGTGGGTGGGTGTGGGTGGGTGTGGGTGGGTGTGGGTGGGTGTGGGTGGGTGTGGGTGGGTGTGGGTGGGTGTGGGTGGGTGTGGGTGGGTGTGGGTGTGTGTGGGTGGGTGGGTGTGTGTGTGCGTGTGTCTGTGTGTCTGTGTGTCTGTGTGTCTGTGTGTCTGTGTGTCTGTGTGTCTGTGTGTCTGTGTGTCTGTGTGTCTGTGTGTCTGTGTGTGTCTGTCTGTGCGTGTGTCTGTGTGTGGGTGTGCGTGTGTCTGTGTGTCTGTGTGTCTGTGTGTCTGTGTGTCTGTGTGTCTGTGTGTCTGTGCGTGTGTGCGTGTTTGTGTGTGATTGGTTCCATGGTTGGTTGGTTCATTCTGTGCGTGCTGCACACCATTGCGCAAACAGGCGCTGCAAAGTATGATATTTCGTGAATGTCAGCCAGGGGCTCTGCCACGTGTATAATAATCCTGGCAAGCCATCTCGGACCCCGCTGTCTTTGCTACAGTAGTAGTGTGCGGCAAAATATCATGACCAATTTTGTTGACGTTTGTTGGAAGAGCAGGTGAGTTTGACGCTGATGCAAAGATGAGTCCTGCAACCTAAGCGAAGCCAAAGGCAAGCTCCCTCAAGACAGCATCGCCATCCCCACCTGCGCATTGCACGGCACCTGCGCACCAATTGGTCGTCTGTGTAGACCTGAGCTACACACAAAAGCCATGTTAGACACTTGTTGCTCGACGGCAACGGCTACGGCCGAAGGCTCTTGGTGGCCCGGAACGAGTCGATATCGGATCGCTGTGCCATCGAGCATGCCTTTGCAAAAATTGAGCCTTGTCTGAAGACCGGCGCAATTGGCACATTGCCTTTCACATGCCCTGATTACCTGCCAACAGCCCCTCAAATCGAGCATAGGCGGGGGGCCATGCCACACATCCCGGAGTCCTCCGCGTGAACTCGAGGGACGAATCTGGCAGCAAAAAACGGCGCGAGGGACTTCAAGCTCGGGAATAAGTTTGGGGTTGAGACGTTTCGAGAACCGAGTGCAGATTTGGCTTTGCTAAGCCAGACCCAGGCTGCACAACACATCGGAGTTGGAAGTAGTCGTTTGGTATCTGCTGGTTGTGTGGATCCGATATCTGCCAACATGCCGGAGCCCAACCACCATGACCGCCCTGACCCCCTTTCCGGCCTGTTGAAGGCTCTTGGTGACTGCTGCTGCTCCTCGTTGCCTCGAGGATCTAATGCACAAGAAGAGCAACAAAGGCAAGAATGCAAAGCACATTTGTAGATTGAATAAGTGTTTCAGACATGGCTTCGGAAGGAAACGTCTGGGACTGGTCAGGTCAGTGGCTTGCAGCGAAAATTAACAAACTCAGACACTGTCTCCACCGCATCCTGCTTGAGCGCAGCCCACTCTTTAAAACTTCGCCCGTCTACAGTCTACGTCGCACCAGTCATGGGTTGATGTTTTTTTCAAAGGTGCACATCAGCAGATTGACGGGAACCATGTTCGCGTATCGGCTGTACCTGGGTCACCCGTGCAGCGGGTCTGGAACGACTACAAGTACCTGCTCCCCACTGCTGCTGGTCACAGGTAAGCATGCTTTCCAAACGCTTGCAAGGCGCTGGGACGTGTAGAAAGGAAACGGCGCAAGGGAGGCGGCTGCACCTTCAACCATTCACCCGACCAATCGCAACAGTTCGGTCACAGCCTAGAGTCCTAGGGCCTAAGACTAAGTCCACGACGTGCGCACTGTTGAAGTCTGGCTTAGTCTTTACGCGGAATGGTGGCGAGCGTTTCAGGGGAGTTCTCCTTTTCGGGTGTTTCCAGGCTCACTAAATCTGCAGCTAAAATGAACCCTCCTGCACTCTCTCATCGCAGCATGTGTCTCTTCATGGTCTGGAGGTTCCGCTGCGTGTCCGATCGGACGAACAGGACAAGCAGCCCAAAAATTGGGTCAGGTCTTCCGATGGCTGCTCGATGAGAAAATACCTCGCCAAGTGAACAACTCGATGGCAACGCGGCTTCAACATTCTCTACCAAGCCGCTGCGAGATGATGATCATCGCCTCGGCCGCAGCCATTGACATGATCAGGCTAGAATGTGGCTGCCGGACCACACACCTCCGTCCTGCTAGCAAATCCCCAGAACAACATCGTGACGCCAAAGCGTGATCAGGTAACTTGGACCGGAAATCCATCTGGACACCCAAAACCCGTCTGCCCAACAGTTAGAGCGGCAGCCGGACTCTCACAAGCTTCTCGAAATGCCGAGCAACAGATAGAATCCCGGGAGCGCACTGGAAGCTTTGGTGGTTCTCCAGGCCTGGGCCCAGGGACCCGGGCGTAGCCAAAGATTGTTCCCTTTCACTCTCGGTCGCTCAGGCTGTCTTTCACCCGATATCACGACGACGACGACACCTACCGAAAGTAGACATCATGCCCCACGTATGCGCTTGAGCTTCTGCTTGTGGCAGCCGCCTGATGGCATGTACATACATGCATACATACGAGCAGACAAACACAGAGAGACAGAGAGACAGGACAGGACAGGCGGCCAGGCCAGGCCAGCCAGACAAGGAAACTCAACATGTTTAAGTTTAAGCTAAGGGCCCAAGTCCCAAAGCTTCAGGGATGCAGAGTCTGAGCTACTTTTGGCTCGGAAACCTTTTGGCTAAGTTAGGAAAAAGCGTACATGCACCGGGCTTTTTGTGGGGCCAGGCTACTCTCCGTCCTGTCTTGTCTTGAAATCTCTTTCATTCCATGCACAGCCTGTCCGACCTGTCAACTCAGCCGCCAACTGGTCGCATGCTTCGCCAGCTGCAAAGCCGCATCCTGGTATCGTCGCAACGGAAGCAGTGGGAGAGGACAAGGAGGAAGAGTAGGAGCTGTGAACCAAGTGCGCGAAGTGGTGCTGACACTCTTCAAAAACATTCGGAAGCGCTGCTGGCTTCTGCAGGTACATAAAGCTTTTCAACTCTCAAGCCCGATGAAAACCGACAGCCAGCGGCCCATCCGGTAACAACGGCACAGGCTTGCCGACGCAGTATGGACCGAGGTTGGATTAGATGATTGGATGATGAGCTGGCTTCTCGAAATTGTTGAGAGCGTGAGGCATCCAACAAAAACGGAGAACTGCCTTAAGAAGGACTTAAAGCCTTGACAGGCTCGACAATTCAACCACATCCAAACAACAACAACAACAACAACCAAAACAACACCAACCACCAACCACCACCACCACCACCACCACCACCACCACCAACAACAACAACGACGACAAGGACTACCACCACACGCAAGAATATCACAGCAACATTGCACAAGTAGCTAATGATAACAACGTTATTATTGCTGCTGTTTAGTTCCTTCCATCTTTGTCCAGATTGCAACTAATGCCGCCAGCCTCAAATTTCACCCAAATTCTCACAGCCTGAAGGACAAGACAGCGACAGCAATCAAATTTGATCAGTTTCCCAAAATCTGGGCATCTATGAGTGCTACGGAGGTCGAATTTGGGCGAAATTTGATCCCCGCCAAAGTTTTAGCATTTCAAGCTTCAGGAACTGTGACGGACCTGTGACGTTTTCGTGTGGATTCGTATGGATCATGGCCGTGGAGGGGGCGAGCATACATGTATGTATGTATGTATATATATATATATATATTGATTGATTGATTGTGTCCCCTCGTCTGTGCATACACGTGCTACAACTGAAAAGGGTAGTCATCACAATACACCCATGACCACGTGCACAAGTGCAAACCAAATGCGGGAAACTTCAGATACAAAAACAGACTTGCTACGTTGTAGAAGTTGGGTGTTGGCCGAACGCCTGCGTGATTTAGTGTGTATGTGCCTAAACATGTATATATATATATATATATGTATATACATATGTATGCATTTATGCATGCATTCATGGATGCATGTATGTATGCAGGAAATGTATGGTAGTGTGTATCCATATACGTATGTAGGCATGTATGTGGGCATGCACATCTATAGCTATATCTGCATCAGGGTCCATATCTTTGTTATACCTATCTACCGATACAAATAGACTTACACATATATATATATATGGTCCCATATATATATATATATACAAGTAATAGGAACATCTGCATACGAGCAATAGATAAATCAACATGTGTGTGTGTGTGTGTATGTGCATATACACGTTTACATATACGAATACGAGTACATGAAAGCAAAATACACATCTACATCTAAATCTAGGGTTATGGTACTTGTACAAGAACAAATACATACGTAAACGATCTAAACATATACATAAATGCATATATGCATATATACATACATACAGACATACATGCACACATACATACATAGTCTTACAAAGGGTGCTGACAAAGTTATTTTGCGACTTCCTCGCTTCAAGAGATTAGCCTGTTCTTGACTGTCCATTTTGTGTCACAGATTTTGCCATGCTTACCTTCTGGCTTTCTTGGTGGAACACTGAGTCTCCTCCTTCTTGGGTTAATCCCTGCAAGCTCTTCTTGTTCCGTGCCTGTGTCTTAAACTCTGCCTGCCGAGATGCTCCGTGACTGAATCTACAAAGCTCGTCTGGCTGGCAGTTTTCGCAGGCGTTGGCCAAGAAGACCTGCCACCAAAAAGCAGCGGCCAGGAGCCCTGCTTGCTACATACACGAGTAGCACTCAAATTCAGCAAAGACACAAGAAGGTGAGGCATGTCAATGGCGGTTTCGCTCATCTGGAGATGCCCTAAAGCCCTTGTCGCACTCGGCACCACCGTCCTCTTCACTGCCAACAACCCTCCGCACCTCCCAATCGACCCCGTGCTCGTGTCTCGGGCATTGCACATATTCCTGAGCTTCTAGTCCGGGGCGTTGTTTATACTCCCATTCAGGATTATCCTACCATAGTTTCATGACAGGTGGGACATTAGAATCATTAGAAGCCTACGTATGTGCGGCCACAGCATACCTCCAATCCCAAAAATTCGGTTCCTTAGCGAGGCATATGGCGTTAGTATCTGCTGGTTTCGATTTGGATGGCCTGGTTGTGGTTTCGTTGCTTTTTGGGTCGCCCGATGCGATCTTCATACAGTTCTACCTGCGGTCTTGCAAGAAATTACGTTCATAGGTCGGAGGAAGGCCGCGCAAGGAAATCGATACATACTTCTGGAATCGATCGTTCCCTATTTACATCGGCCCGCATTTAACCACTCGTCCTTTGCCCTTCCAAAAACCAGCTGAAGCTGGGTCTTCGCTGCGTTTAGACGTGTGGGGCTTGGAGCTCTCACCCCTGACCCCGGCGGGGTTGGTTCTCTCTCCCTCTATCTCTCGACTGCCAGCTAGCAGCAGCACATGGCATTTGCCCAACAATGTTGCCTGGACTGTCCACTCGCTCTGTCATTGCGGCCGGCCCCTCGCGAAGAGCAATGGAAAGATCTCCACATACTGCTCAGCTGTAGCGGCAGTGCGAGAGGCCTCCTTTGTATCTACCTCTACATGGGTTTGTAGTACTTTTTTCTGGTTCCCTAAAAGTTGTGGGTCCTAACTAGTTTCCACGAAAATGTGGTTTCCGGTTCCGGGGTTTGGAGCAACTCATTTCTTGCAATGGATCACTTGTATGAAACGAAGTTGGAACAAAGAAAACACAATATATCTAGAATATGTATATATATATGCATGTTCATGCAAATAATGTAAGTTTATGGAAGATCTATATAATAACATATATATATATATATATATATATACATGTTGCTTGACATGCTGGCATGTTCTATAACATATCCTATGAATTATGTATATATATATATAAATATTTATGCATGATGTGTTGCTGCACTTGCTGTCATCTGTGAGTGTGGTTTGTCGCAGCTTGTGGGCTTCTTTTGTGAGCTTTGCTTAGTGCTCAGCTCTGCTTTTCCAAAGTTGCCTAGTTGAAGACAGTGGGAATATCATTCATACATGTATCGACTTAGTGTCTCTTGAGCCTCTTGATTCCCGTGCTGTGGATGATGGGCTGATGTCGGAAATGCCTGGAGCTCGGCCTTTGTGCACTCACCGTGAGCTTCTGTGGTTGACTTGGCTTGCTCATCTGTGAGTGTGTTTGTCGCAGCTTTTGGGCTTCTTTTGTGAGCGTTGCTTAGTGTTCAGCTCTGCTTTTTTCGGTGCCATGGAGCCTGGACCGATCAAAGAGTCGGAGGAGACTTTCTCAGAAGCTCTTCTGGCTCAGCTCCTGAAGGATGTTCATGCGGTGACTAGGCTGATGATTCATAGTGTGAGTGGATTGGGTGCTTGCTTCAAACAGACGACATATTAATAAATAAATATACATATATATATAATATATATATAATATATAATATATAATATATAATATATAATATATAATATATAATATATAATATATAATATATAATATATAATATATAATATATAATATAATATAATATAATATAATATAATATAATATAATATAATATAATATAATATATCTGTTCAGGACTGGATGGCGGAGCCTTCGTTGCAGGCGCTTGCACTGCAGGATAAAGAGCTCATCCAGTGGCCGGCGGATGAGAAGGGTCAGAAGCGCATCCCAACGGCTTTGGGGGCGAAGCTGAATCGTGTGCCTAGCCGACGTTTGCGCATAGAGTGCTGGGAGATATGCTGCATTCATCCAACATGGGGTTCCATTCATTCTGATGTGTAGCTAAGGCCCTTCTGCTTCCGATTGTGGGCCGTGCCTTGCAGCATCATGCTTTGCTCTATGTGAACATCTTGGAGATGCTGCTGAAAAAGTTTCGTGTTGAGACGAAGGTGAGGTAGCCTGATTTGGGGCAGAGGATTTGGCCGTCAAGACTAATTCGTATATGAGCTCTTGTATGGTGCAGGCCCAGCACCTCAAGGTGGACAAGACAGAGGTGCATTGTGGCTGCTGGTTTGTAGTTTTGCAGCAGGTTATGGGTTCATGCAGTGAGTCGAGATATGCAATATTTGGACAGGTCAAGATTGATGCTACGTCTGTGAACCCGGATGCGCATGCCATCAAGGCGTTTGTCAACTGCCATCGCCGATGCTTGTCAAAGAGCATATATATGATATACATATATATATATATTTATGATATTCATATATAGGTTTATGAATAGAATACAAATATGTATATATAAACTGCGTGGGGATTTGATCCTGGTAATTCTCTGTATCGCTCACCCCACAAAGAGCTGTATTGACTGCTGGCGTGGTTGCCTTCTACAAGCTGTAACACCGTGACTTCCACTTCCACACACGTACTCCTATGCAGGCAGATCCACTGTTCGCTCCTTTTGCACACTCACGGCCGGCGGTGGATCGTCTGTGCACGGGATAGCTCTGACTACTCTGAGGATCACAAAGATAATAGCGCTTTAGCTACGGGCAAAGCTTTCTAGAGCTTGTGCTCATTCTTGAGCCAAACGTTGCATGGGCGGTCATACTGAAAGGATGGATAGGCATTGCGGTGTGCGTAGCACTACCACAAGCATACTCCTAGAGACGAGGGACGCGTAGCGTGCCCCCTTCCCTTGCACTTTACATGGTCTTGCTCACAGCTCTTATAGTGACACCTTGGAACTTGACAAGGCATCGCAGTCCGTTCGCACCCCCCATGAGTTGCGTCTCCGACGCTGCTCACCCGGAAGATGGCACGATAGGAATGTTAGAAAATTTGTTCCGCCGCAACGTTGATACATATAGATCAGAGCTTTTGCATCCCAATTAGAAACGTTGTGACACTCATCTACGTCGGTAACGATCCCCTGAAATGGCAAACGAATCAGGCGTCACCGAAGAAAGAGGCATTCGCGATGGAATTCCACGAGCGAAGCACAGAGGTCACAATCTTGAAGATGAGGTAGATCATGTGTTGTCTCACCGCCATCTTCGCGTTGACGTAGTATCGCGGTCCCAGGGCCGGAGGTTCTCCTCTGGGTACTGGTTCCTCTGCTTTCCTTTGTCCTTGCCTTTGTTTCGGCCTTTGCCGGCGATGTAGTCTTGGTAGGAATTGGCGTTCCAGCCACCATGTTGCTCATCTCCGGTCCTCTCACGCCCTTTTGAAGGTCCCTTTGCCGAAGAAGCGCTTGCACGTTCCTCCGTGGTGACGGGCGTGTCCATGATGGAAGTACCACCCGCAGGGAGATACTCTTCAGCCGAGATGTGATGTAAGGCTTGAGGACGTCGAGTATTCGGATTTTGCTGTCTCTCAACCCTAGACTTGACCAATCTGTCCATGAAGTGCGCTGGCATTTGCACGTTGTGGTCCACCAGCAATCCGACGGTCTGGACGGAATAGTCTGCATGAGTCAAGAGGATGCCGACCGGGTCGATGTACAGAAAGTCCACTGGTCCAGTTGGCGTGTTTCGTAGTACTGAAAACTGTTGATGTCCTGTCACCATCGGGATAACTTCACATAGGACGTTGAGGCAACAAAAGTGCATTGCTTTCACGTCTTCATCCTTGTTGCTCTTCAAGTACGTGGTTGGATTGAAGTTATCTCTGCCGATTCCCATCATGTTGGCTCCCCGTGTCAATAGCGAAAGCAGCTGGTTCGTCCGGAAGCGCTTCAAAGTGTAAGTCCCGTTGGGATCATACGACTTGAGGTTGTCAGGCTCCTTGGCGAAGCGAATGATCTCCTCGTCAGTCACGTCCCTGCTCACACCTGTTTCTTTGTCCACTCCAGCCAAACTTCCCCACTTTCCGAGCACATCATAGCGTTGGCCAAGTGCGAAATTCTCTCTCATCTGAAACAACGGCATAGTTGCCCACTTCGCGAATCCTGACCAAGCTTTGTAGATGGTTCTGCATACGACGAACGCCATGTACGAAAGAGCGGCCACGTTGGCGTCGATGCAATGGGCGTTCCGCTTGCCGTGATGGTAGGGCGGCTGCATGGCAGTGCGGGCGATTTGCAGTTCAGGGTCGATGTTCAGAGACTGACCGGCGATGAGGACGGGACGTCGTTCCTGTGCCACTGCATCTGGTACTTGGTCGTCAAAGTCCTCACCCGGTTCCGTGTCCATCTCTTCATCAGGTTCCTGTTCTGGATCATCATCACCAGCAACGGATGGTTCTGGAATTGCTTCGGGCTCCGCAACCGATTCCGCTTCCATGGCTTCCTGTTCCTCGACGGTTGCTTCAGGTACTGCTGCTGCTGCAGCTTCCATCGTCTGAGCAATGAAATCACTTGGGATCTCCGTTGGAGTATCCCGTTGTGGAGTACCTTGGTAGTATCCGCAAGAAACGAATTGTGACCAGCAGGATGTGCATCGAGAAAAACATGCTGGAACAATGTTGTAGCACGCCGGGCATACCCTCATTCTCCTGCCATCCTCATCTCTGCGTAGATCTTCGGGTCGCCAGTTCTTGATGACAAACTTGATGCCCTTGTCCATGTAGTGATGTCGAACTGTGTTCTCCCTGTGGGCCTCCAAAACAGTGATCAGGTCTCGCATTATCTGATCCTTGCTCGTGTCATGGGGTCCAGGAGGCATCTCACAAAGCAATTCCATGATCTTGCTCGGCGTTCGATATCTCTCGAATTCAGGAAGCAATGGAGATCCATTGTAGTCCAACACCATCTCTTTCTCCAGTCGTTCATCATAGATCTTTTCCACCAGAGCGAACGAATGTGAATCCTGAGGATTCGGGACGCAAAACCATACCTCCTTCACGAACTGGAACGGTATCGTTCGACCAAGAATGATGACACCGCTGTCAGTGATACGTCCACCTTCTCGGGCAAGATCTGTCGAAGCGACATGGAGGACCACAAGGGGCATGTGCTTGGCTTGCGGCCCGTGTACCCGAGTTTTGGTCGTTGCGTTCCGGTCATCGAACGGCGCGAATACCCCCCAGTAACTGTGGAGTCTGCCACCTCGGTTGTCCTGAAATCGACGCCGCTGTTCGAAGTCCCCGTCAGGATCCTCCGAACCAGGCATGACGCCCTGCAGAACGATGGAATCCAAGTTGCGGCATGCCGTAGCGTGGAACGCGCCCCCGAGACGTGTCAAGAGGGTCATAGATGGAGATATTGCGAACCGGTCCTTGTCCAACTGAAGCAAATTGTTCTGGGGATCGGAGTGCGTGGAGTGACCACTTGTGGCCCTGACAGCCCATGGTTTCACCCAGCCATTGCAAACGTTCAGGTACCTCTGATTGTGTCGGGTACGGTCGTTGTTCTGGATCTCTGTAATCTGATCGGGAACCGACACCAACATGTTCGAATTCGCAGATCCAAGAGTCTCCGTGCCGGGATTCTTCACTCTCACACCCAGGAATTGTAGCCGGATCTTGGCCCTGTGGCGTTTCGTGGCTGCAAGCATATTCCCCTGGAACAGTAGCTGCAGTCTCTCATTGTACACTCTCTTCCTTTGGAACTCGTCGGTCCTTGATACCGCTTCGGTAATGCGTCTACTTTCGTGGGTCCATAGTTGCTCATGCCTCACCAAGTCTTCTATCAGCACCCACCCTCCTTCATCACATCGAATAACGCTGCTGAATGCCACTTGGCACCGGTTGTCAAGCCATTCGGAACCTGGGCGCCTGGCAATTCTGTGGCGCAAGTCAGACTGAATGCAGGATAGCGCCCACTCTGCGTTTCTTCTTCGATGATGGTTGATGTTGCGAAGGACAACTTCATTCACGATGTCCCATCGATTGTTGATGAAGCTTGCACCCTTGGTTGGGATCAGGTCAAGAATTCCGCATCGGATTGGCCTTCCGCCGCCGATGGATTCGTAGCCTGGGTTTGCCCATTGTTGAGTATTCTCATCATACTCGAAGCTTGGACGATCTCCTCGTTGAGGTAGCCGTCGGTCACGATGGTCCGAAAGCTGCTCAATGAGATCCACCACCCGCTGACTGTTCTCGGGTCCCATTTCCCGTAGCGGTACGCCACAAGCGTCGTGTAAGCCTCGACGGTTCTCCACTTCCGTGCATAGGTTGTGCTTGTTCTCGTAACGGATCAAGACCACATCACTCCGAACGGCTTCGCCTCCGCGTCGCGGTCGGGCTTTGGCCTTGGGTCGTCGGTCCGAGGAAGCAACACTCACATGGTCTGTGGCATCAACGTCCATTGGCTCAGCTTGTTGCGAAGGTGGTCGACGTGGATAGCGAAGAAGGCTGTCCCTGATGACCTGAAGGCTTCGAAGTATCAGATCTCGGGTTGCAGCATTCTCGGTGCAATCGGACAGATGATGTGATTCACTGCCACAAGCAATACAGAACGTGAAATTGTTGCTCCCGGCCGACACTTCGCCCTGAGCAAGTATTCCCACATAGTCCTGCAGCTGCGTGACGAGTACCTCACGAGTCCTCTGCCTGGGATCGTGTTCTTCAGCACCTTGTTCTTCTTCAGGTTGTGCGTCCACGTCAACGTCCTGTGTTGGTATTGGTGGTGCAACTGAAACCCCTGGATCGCCCGTGACGTTGTCAGCGGCCTGTGTCTCGTCGTTCCTTGCAATTTCTACGGGGTAGACATCACCATCGACGATCACAGTGAAATCAATCACGAGGTCAGCGGACAAGTTGTTGACGATCTCAGCGACTTGTTCATTCTTCTTGGGCGGTGTCCTCTTGCGTGGGGAGTCAACCGTGATGAGCTCGATAGCCTCGGCCGACGCATAGCGGAAGAATGATCTTTCGATCCCTCTCACGCACGCATTTGCCCCTTCAAGACCACCCCAATTTGGAAAATGATTTGGGTACCTCATTGCTATTGTAAGAAGCCCGAGTGCCAGCTCCAATGTGTCGCCCAAGAGTTCCTCCTTAGGCAAAGCTG